ATTATTAATGTAATAAGTAATATTTGAATAAAATATAAAAAATTAAATTATTTTTTTTATTTTTTGTAAAAAATTTTTTAAAAATATTATTACTAAAATTTTTAAAATTTTTATATTTAACAGATATTAATGTATATTATCTCTATTTATTCCCATTTATTATTTTTTATTATATTTTCTATATAATATCTTAATATTTTTTCCAAGAATTCTCAAAACGCCTATGTAATTTTGAATGGCACTACAAATTTGGAGCCCATAGCTCAAAATCCTAGTTATAAAGCTTTTTTTTATTCTAAATAACTATTTGCAAAAAGACTAGAGAAAAAACTTTTATTAAAATCTCAAAAACAATTGAGATAGTAATTTCTTGAGTAATTTAGCATTTTCTGTTATAGACAGATATTTTCTTTAATAATTGTAAATCATAATCTTAATACTAAAAGGAATATTTATATATAAATATATATATAGATATTCTGTTTAAATACATAAAAGTTTATTGATCCTAACAGTATACATTTAGACAAGTGCCACTGTATATATTGTTCCTATTTATTTATATTTATTATTTTTTATTATATTTTCTATATACAATGTCTTATCAAAATATTGTGGACACTTTTTAAATTTTTATTATTTAAAACTAGATAAATAAATATAACACAAAAAATTTGTCACATGTTTGATAAATCTTAAGGTATTACTTGTTAGAATTTTATGCAGTTTCGTTAGATTGCACAGAAGTTATATAAAAAGCATGACTATTTGCAGTTTTTGGAACTAGCCAGCGATCTATCTTAAATTTTTTTTTTTAAAAAAAAATTCATAAAAAATCGAATTCTTATCAAAATAATTTCAAACTTTGCTCAAATGTTTTACAGCATATAGGTAAGATTATGTAATATTAAAAGGATCTGGTTATATAATAATATAATGTAATTAACTAAATAAAGATTATCTTCTCATGGACAATAAGTAGCAATAGAGATTTGACAAAAAGCCAAAAAAGTGTGATAGTTTATAGTTATCAGCGAGGAGATTTGATTCGTGCTATTTCAACTACTGTTAGATGCAATAAGTCTGCTGTATGAAATGTAGTGAGTGGGTTTCATCAATTGGGTACTATTGAGACAAAAAAAAAAAGAACTAGACATTTCAAGATCCTCTCTCTTGCTAATTGCAAAAACTTAAAAAATTTAGTTACTAATAGCAACTGTTATCTTAATCTCACTCAAGTTACTAACCTTTATAAAAAAAAAAAAAAAAGGTTTTTACCAGCATCATGCGTTATATATTATATGGTAAAAACTTAAGATCATGTGTTGCCTCCTCGAAACCATTTGTCTCTTTACAAAACAAATAAAAAAGATATGATTGGGCTCTTACCCATGAAAAACGGTCTGTCCGATACTTCAAGCATGTTTTGTGGTTAGATGAGACCACTGTTAGTTTTTTCCAAGGTTTCCCTAGTTGTATTTGGTGTAAGCCTTATGAGAAATAGGTAGTTAATTGCTTAAATCCTACTGTAGATTGTAGTCTGGGTCGAATGTACTGGGGCTGCTTCTTCTGATATGGTATTGGATCTCTTGTCCCACTTGAATCTTTTGTTACTGGCACCTCATATGTCGAGATTCTCCAAAGGTACACTCTTTCCACCTTAAAAAAATTTCTGCCAAGTGATTATAGTTGTCCTGTCTTCCAACAAGACAATATAAAACCTCATATTACAAAATTTGTAAAAGAATTCATGAAAAAAAACAAATTAAATCGATGGATTAACCTCTTAGAGCCCTGATCTTAACCCAATTGAAAACTTGTGGGCTAAGATTAAAAAATTTCTACATTGCGAGCCGAAGCCAAATAATATTAAAGAGTTAGATAACCTTGTTAAAAAGGTGTGGTCTAGAATATTACTTAAATATTGTTATCAGTTGGTTACTAGCATGCCTAATCAGGCTGCCGCTTGTGTCGTTGTCAAGGGAAAACCTATAAAATATTAAAATCTCATTAATTTTTTTTACTTAAATTTTTAGTCAATGGAAAAAAATTAAGTTTTTAGTTTTTTCTTTATAACTTTCGTGCAATCTAATAAAATCAAATAAAAATTTAATAACTAATATTTTAAGACTTTCTGAACATGTGATAAAAATTTTGTATTACATTTACTTGTTTAATTTCAAATAATAAAAAATTAAAAAGTATCTATAATATTTTGATAAGGCACTGTAGTATTTTAATATTTTTTCTAAGAATTCTCAAGATACCTATGTAATTTTGAATAGCATTGAAAATTCATAGCATTATAGCTCAAAATTATAGTTATAAAACTTTTTTTCTATTCTAAATAACTATTTGCAAAAATACTAAATAAACAATATTTATTAAGATTTCAAAAACAATTGAGATAGTAATTTTTTAAGTAATTTAGTATTTTCTGTTATGGATAGAAATTTTTTTTGATAATTATAAATCATAATCTTAATACTAAAAGAAATATTTATATATAAACATATATATGTATATTTTGTTTAAATGCATAAAAGTTTGTTGGTCCCAACAGTATGCATTTAGACAGGTGTTACTGTATAAAAAGAAAAATAAAAAAAAGTTTTAATAATATTTGATATTATAACTTATTAAGTATTATTTTTTATAAAAAATTAATTTATATACCAATCTAATAAGCATTAAAGTTATAATATTTAAAAAAATAATATAACATTTGTTTTTAATTAATATATTTGATAATTATTTTTTATAATATTTAATATCTTTTTTATAAAAACCTTGTTAAAGTTTTATTTCAATTTAATAAAAAACTATTTTAATATAACTTATTTTAAAAATTATAAGTATTTTTAAATAATACTTAAAAAAACAAGAAATTAAATAGTTAATTTAATTATAGATAATAATAATAAAAAAAATCTCTAATAAATTGGTTATAAAATTTTCTATAATTGTTTACTTTTTTTTTTTTTTTTTTTAATATATTTTTTAAAATAAAGCTTAATTGATTTTTATATAAGTTAAAAAATTAATAAAAGTTTTAATATATTAACTTTTTAAATAAATTAATAGTAATAAGTTAATATGTTTAAATAGTATAAACTAAATTTAAATATAGCTTTATTTATATATATTAAACTTTATATAATATATTTTAGTAATATGTATAAAATAATATTATTATTAAAGCAAGATTTAGTTGATATTTAAAAATAAAAAATAAAAAAATTTTTTATTATTAAAATTTTATTTATTAAAACTATTTTTGATTAAATATTATTTTTAAAAAACTGTATATTTTATCAGGTAAAAAGTTATGAAACTTAATAAAAATTTTATTATAGACAGAATTTATTATAAGAAACAAGTTTATTTAATACATAAAAAAAAGTTTAATACATAACAACTATTTTAGATTAATTATAATAATTTTTAAGTATGTAATTCTTTATTTATTAAAGAAGACTGTATGTTATTTTAAAGAAATAATAATCTTGCTTTGTTTAAATTTAAAATTATAATAATTGTCTTGTTTTCCTAAAAAAAATTTTTTATTTATACTGTATATTACTTATATAATATACTTTGCAATCTAAATATAGTTAAATAATTTAAATGAAACCTATATTCCTTTTTTAAATAAAATCCCTAGTGATCAACAGCATAAAGGATATATACATAGTTAAAGAATTATCAGACCATCGATTACCAATCCGATTCCGATGATATCTTTCTATCAGAAAACTATACGTGCGTACGTTTGACAAACAATTTTTGTTTCTGTTTATATCTTCATATTTCACGAATTGAAATTCAAGTAAACTTTGTTTCTAAATTCGTGGCTGATACTAGAAAGTTTCTTTTGTGGCCATTGAATTCGGTTTTTTTTTTTCTAATGTTATAATGCCCGTGCTTGATTTGAAATTATATACCACCATTTCCGTATGTGTTGCCCTTGTGGCTTTTTTATACTCATGCACTTTTCCCTTCACAACCTTACACATACAAAAATGGCCATGCACAGTTAACCCCCCAGTTGAGCCCGATGGCACGAATAAATGCACAAATCCTCCTGCTCCGAGATCTATTCTTTCATCTCTTTTTAACTTTTTGCAAAAAGAAAAGACATGTGTAATGGTAAGCTGTCTTATGAAACATCCTAGCATATACTTTCTTTTACTCTCTTTGATCAGCGTATATTTAAAAGTAAATTGTCAATTGATGAATAATTAGATTTTTATCAATATGGCTTATTGCTTTTTATTCCTCCTTGGGAGGTTAACCCTGAAATTTTTCTTTGGAGAATTGCGAGTTATTGAAAGTCAGGTAAATATTTATGTCGCAATAATTATATTTTCACGTCTGACACTAACCAGGATTTTTTATTTTTAGCACATGTATGATCGACTCCTCAATTTTCTCTTATTTAAAGTGGTCTTTGTTGGAGCAATATTAGAGCCGAAATGGGAAGAATTACTGATATGGACGACGTGGTTTACAATTCTTGGATTCCTGAGGATATTTAGTATGCTGTGTCGAGATAGATTTGAATATGTTCGGATTATTTCATAGTTATTAATCTCAATTGAGTGGGATCAAGGATATTGTTGTTCTGATGCAATTCCTATTCAAATATTGTAGCTTACCTTTTCACCAAACACCCCGGTTCAAGCTCACCTACGTATTCTATCACTTTTGATACTCATATTAATATCGGACATATTTTGGTTTATAATGTGTATATCAATTTTCAGGTCTATGCTTTTACTCTTAACTTTTGAGGTTTGTGTTAGCTTCTTATTAATGCTAGTCACAAAAATTCGATTTCTCAAATAACTCAAATTTTTATGTTTAACATACAGTGTTTTACACTCTTCTTGGACACTGTTCAAACTCTTGTAAAATATGTTATTCATCTAAGGGACTTGTCCAGGCAAGGTGTTTGGGAATCACGAAGGCTTCTCTTATATTACACAGAATTTGTCACGGATACATTGATACTTATTGCTACACTCGGTCATTATTTGCATATTATGGTGAGATTATCTCGTTACTTCCTCTTTCACAATCCTTTTGGTTAATAATGCTTCTTTTCTATCGATGCAGCTTTTACATGGTATATCATTCACATTGATCGATGCCGTGTTGTTTCTTAACATGCGAAGTGTTTTCAATAACCTCCGAAAGAAGATTGCTGCTTATTGCAATTACCGTCAGGCCATCAGCCATATGCAAAACCAGTATGAAATTTATGCACAAATTAAATTCCTGACTTCAAGCTGTTTCAACTGATTGTAACAACTTTCATGTATAGATATCCTGATGCAACTGATAAGGAGCTAACAGAATATAACGATGATTGCGCAATATGTCGTGATTCGATGACATCGGCAAAAAGATTACCATGTGGACATATGTTTCATCTGTACGTAAAGAAAATTTGTTTTTCCGGACCTTTGCTTCTTTACAACTATAACCAACTAAGCAATAGGTTTTAAAAAGGTCGTGTCTTCATTCGTGGTTGGAACATCATGGATCATGTCCAACTTGCAGGCGTTAGGCGTGGTTAATAATCGAGGACATTATGTTAATATAAAATAAGAAGGTAATTACGACTGAGTTACAAGAAAATTTTTTCAACAAGTGCTCTAAGAGATAATTTTTTTTTCTTCTTTCATACCTATTTCTAAGATAAGGCAGATCTCACTAGAACGTTTACCTACGGATGCATACTATCTGCTTAGGCTATTCTTGTAATTCTTTAGTTCATCTTCTGACTTTTGGATATGAAGTTCAAAATTTCTCACATCAATCATGTGGACTTGATTCCTTCAGCCATATTAAGTTGTCAATTATTCTGAGCAACAAACAAATCTGGATGGACATTTGAATTCAAAAGTGAAGCAGCCATGCTGTAATAGTATCCAGAAATTGTCTGAGTACGCATCAATGAATTAGATCTCATCAGTTAACGAATTTAACCGCATGAGATTAATTTGATGCACATCCTCTGAGATTGGATAACAATTTCTTTATTATGAAAAGTACGATTTTAACTTTAGATCACAACATTAATTCCTGATTTTCTCACATATGTATTATATTCTTGCTCGGCATGAGATCAATGTAGATAAGCAAACTTTGAATTTATTCTAATAATAGATAAATTTACGTTTTATCAGAAACGTAATTGAACTATCCCTACTGTTTACAAGGTTATTGCTCATACGATGGTTTTCATTAAATAGAATAATAAAGTGATAAATTTCTCAATCAACCGGGTACTTGGGATGCGCGTTTTAGTTTGTCCAATTCAATTCGAATTTTCGAGAAATCATCAGAATCAAAAATCGAATCTTGCAATGCCTTAAAAAAAAAGTTCATCTGAATGTTAATAATTAGCACCATCGCAAAAGCGTGAGAATTAAAAAGAAAAAGACAAACCCGATTTGCCGTCATTCGTTCGTTGAAACTATATTTCAAGAATTTTGATATGAACTGTATGACACCTGGGGAATGGGCTTCGGGCAATTGTAGTTCCGTTAAACCCAAACACTCCTTTATCTTAAATGTCAACTTTCCATAATCCGGAAAATCTTTCATTTCCTTTATTAATTACTGTGCTTAAAATACAAATATTGTAGAACGAATGAACTGAGAACGAAAATTTTGCACTTACAGGCCAACTTTTCTCGGTGGGAATACCTAATACTCGAAATATTTTGCTCAATTGTTCGATGTCACTTCCGCCATCAAACAGGGGTGAACCAACAGGTTTCGTATAGAATTCTGCGAATATGCATCCAAGGGACCATAAATCGATTACATTGGTATAATTTCCAGCAGAAAATAAAAGTTCCGGCGCACGATAATGCCTTTACACGTTTCATCACATATCAGAACAAAATCTCATGCGACAGCCTGTCACGAACCACGATTATATTTGACTGACCTCGTTCCCACCTCAAATTTCATTTCACCTCTGGGTTCGAAATTGTTGTTCGTATCTGCCCACGCAACTCCAAAGTCCGCAATCTTTACTACTCCTATTCCATTAATCAGTATGTTCCTAGGTGATAAATCTCGATGTATGATGGCACTCTCGTGAATATGAGCGACACCATTGAGTATCATCCAAATGCAAGATTTTTTTTCTGAAAATGTGAGAACATAGTTCTCCAATAAATCTTTCAAAGTTAAAGGACAATATGGAAATATAATTGATGTCTTATTTGTTTCGTCACTACAAAAGAGGATGCGTGACGAAGAATCTACGAATTTGTATGTTCCATCCGATGAAAATATTGATATGATCTACTTGCGATCAATAACGAAAAAAAGGTTTCTGTCAAATATAATTTAACATTGTCATTTCAATCTAATAAGGAAATGAACCAAATACGTTTTCATGTTCAACAGAACGTAATATTTTTATTTCGTTCGCTATTCTTTCCCGCGCTGGTCTTTCGTATCTAACCTCAAACGCTTTTTTGACTGCAACAAGGGTTCCAGTTGACTTTTGTCTTGCTTTGTAAACAATACCGAAAGTACCTTCACCACATGTTTCTAGTATTTCATAAACTTCGGAATCCATGAAGGGTTTTTTTTACGACCTCGAAAGCTCCTGATCGACATGTGACCAAAACCATCTACTTCTCGTGATTTATAAAAATGTAACACACAAAAATTGCATGGTTATTCACAAATCTCTTCTAAACGCTATTCGCATTTTTCGTTAAGTTGCAAAATGGGTAACGTAAGTTAGTCCAAAGTAACATGAGATTTCCGTTGTCATGAAAATGTATAATTTTTTCCTTTATTGTTACTACTTTCTGTCTGTTTATGGTTGCTAATGACTTCATTCTTTCAAGGGACAAAAAGCGCAACATAAGCGGGAGCGTGCGAAAACCCAAGCTCAAAAGGCCCCAACTAGTCAACTCAAAACGGTAAGGCTAAAGTTATTATTCATTTGCTTGATAGCCTGATTTTTGTTGTATATTCTATACTTTCTTCGTGTATGAGAAGTTAGTAAGAAGCACTCCAGTTGAATTTGAAGACTTGAAGCAAGAAAGTCGGTTTGCTTGCTTTTCAACGTAACACTCGATCTTTCTCATTTGTATGACCAAAAAAAAAAAAAAAAGAAACGGAATAAGAAAGTTTACCTTCCGATCGACATCTTTCTATTTACCCATTAGAACGAAGCTGCGAAGAACATAATGTGTCAAGTATGTCGTAATACCTTTTTGTGTACTGTAAGACAAAAGGCGTAAGTAAAAAACTTTGTTTATATATTTTTATTTAATTCATTTAATAATTTAATCTTATATTACTTCCTTTAAGATTAACCGAACATGCGGAAAACAAACATAACAAGAAATTGGATGAATGTTTTCCTGGATTTGTTGAAATAGCAAGGAAATAGGACGCATCGTCTTGTAGCTTCTATAATAAATTTCAACGGGTTTAACGCGAATCCATACATTCACTCCTTCGAGAAACAGGCGTACTATTATTAGAATAGTATTAGATTGGCGATTTACAATAGTTAATTTATTGTATTTACTTCAAATTTATGAAAAGAATACCATCAGGTCATTTATATTCTACAATAAACTTTCATATATTCCAATCAATTCTAAATTAGTGTAATTTTCAATAGGTTATAATAGGAGTTGTGATTTGTTAAATCTATATATGAGATCTGTTATGTTTTGAAAATCTTCTTTCTTTCTGATATACCTATTATATTGAATATTTAAAAATATAAAGTGCTTTATGATATTTGTAGAATACTGAAGAATGTGTTTTCTCTTTTTTGAAATTGGTTTTTGTTTCTAACTTTTTTATTATTAGAGAAGAGTATATTGAGTTAATTAAGTAATGTACAAATTTTTGTCAAATATTATTAATCTGTTTATTAAAACTGTTATATTACTGATTTACGCTTTATCTGTTGCATGTTTTTAATATTGTAGATTTTCTTATATATATTTTGAAAAGTTGAATTGAGATTACTAGCTTAGGTTTTTTTTTTTAAGATATGTTTTGTAATTTTGATAAGACCTATTAAGAAGATTAACAATTTTTTACAAGAACATAATCTTTAGAAATTTAATTTTATGAAGATCCGTGGTCTAATATAGTTATATATAAAAAAGTCTTAATAAATACTACTGTATAAAGAAGTTTAATAATTTTTGTAAAAGTTTTTAACAACTTTTTTTAAATAAATAATACAATATAATTTATTTTATACAATACTTAATTATTTAATAAAGCAATCTATATTCAATATTAAAATAAAAAATTTTAATTTTTAATAGTAGCCTTATCAAATTTAACTTAAATTTATAATATAATTTTTATTTTTCAAATTATTATAAATATATATTACATAATATGTCATCCACATAATCTTTTTTGATCAATAATTTTTGCCAATCAATAATTAACTGTATTACAAGAATAATTTGTAAAAATTTTTGAAATTTGATTGACTTTATATTTTTTATTTTTATATTTTTATATACTGCTTAAAAAAATATAATATATGCTAAAAAAATATTTACTTTTAATAATTTACAATAATTTATTTCAGTTAATTAATTTCAAAAAAACAAATAAACTTATAAAAAAGTTAATATATATTTTAAATTATTATTAATAAAGATAAAATAATAAAATAATATATTTAATTATATTTTAATTTTAAATAATATTTATAAACCCAACTTCATAATAATCAGTTATAGTGATTTGAATATATTACTTATTGAAGAAAAACAAAGATGTAGTCTTATTAACAACCTAATAACCAAACTAGTCACTTCTTTCATTAAAAAATACATGACACAAACTATTTAATCTATTCAAAAAAAGGAGGCAATCTAGTTTTGTCCAATTTGTGATCCAGACAAATTCAATCAAAACAACTGGATTCCATATGTGATTAAAGCTGCAAAGAACTTAAAAATTCAGATCTGTTTTTCAAACTGTTTTTTTTACCTTGAAAATATCCATAACAATATTGGTCTTCTTTTCAAAAACATGTCATCTCAACTTAAAGAATCAGCAATAAAAACATTAAATGCTTTTAATATTAAATTCACTACTCAACTCTTATAATTCAACAGTTCCTTCAAACTATTCTGATCACAAATTATTTCCTATACTGGCATTGTACAGTGTAGTTCAGAACCAATCTGGTTTAAAAACTTCAATAATAACATCAATCTCTTGAAATTCTATAGGCCTATTCCAAATTCAAAACCATTTTTTTGGTTCTTTATAATATCAACTCTTTTATTAAAACATATAGAAGACATTCAGATATACATAAGAATACTTTTCTAAAATATAGATATTATATAATATACTCTAGCAACAATCTTATTAAATGCCATGGCTGTTCTTTAGACTAACCTTTCAATAACTTCTGTTCATTAATCTTTTCTAGTACTAATGCTTTCTTACTTTGAACAATCAACAAAATTTTATTCAACTTCAAGTATCACTTATATAACATTATAGAAAAGCTAGCAATCTCTTTATTCAAAGATGAACACACTTTCCATTCAATAAATATCACATTTGTTTCACTATCTCTCTCATTATTTCAAGTAATTAGAATTTACAATTCATATTATATTCAACTTATTAAACAAGATATAGTGGTTAATAATACCAAAATTATAATAACAAATTCAGAATTATCAATAGATAATATGCTTTATATCATTTATAAAATTCTGCAATGGTGCCCTATTCAATATACTATTGAAATTAGAAATAACAAGAATATTATTTATTGCCGTTTTCAAAATGCTGTTCCACCTTGCTCACGGGACAAAAAAAATAAATTTTTGTAGATTATAAGAAATTCTATAGGTATAGTTAATACAAGTCTTGCTTTTCACGATTGCTTAACCTTTTTCCAACTTGCAGAGACCAGTGTGCCAAGTTATAACTTCCTTTA